ATATTATCACTTTATAGTATAAAGATCTAATGAACTTAAATCATACTAAAATATCATAAAACGAACAAATAGAATTATAGCCTAAATAATGTGTAGTTGTAATGTAAATAAATAGTGGTAACCATATCAAATATTTAAAAACAATAACCGTAGAATAAAGCTACACAAAGGAAGTTAGCAATAGTAAAAAATGTAATGTAGATGTGAAAATTATACAATATATTTTTGAAGTACATATACAACACAACATAACATACAATACAACATAATATAACAGCTAAATTTAATAATATAACATCTAAATAATATAACATCTAAAATAATATAAATCGATGTTCACTTGCTGATTCGGAAAAAGGCATTAACTACATTTTTTACAAAAGTTTTTTGTCTTACATGACTGAGGGTATAATCTGTCACCTTATTTCAATAGAAAGTCAAAAATATTACTCTAAATATGATATTTATTTTTTTAAATGGGCATTATCTACACACACCACTACAAATAATTTGGAATAAGGCATTAACTACTATTATACAGCATTGAACGATTGATTTCTTTTGGAAAGAAGGCATTATCTAAATTGTTTTGTTTTTTGCCAGTGTATGAATATTAATTACATCTCCTCTAAGATAATGCCTATTTTGGTCCAGCTTTATTCCGAGGATTAATTCGAAAGGAGACATCTACATTGTTTTGTTTATAACCTGTACGAAACTTAATATCATCCTGACGATGGCTTTTACTATGACACAAGTAACAACGCAAAGCTTATTTAGAAGCCTTTTAATAAATATTTTTAATTTATTCATAAAAGTGGTGCTCTAAATATATTTTTATTGTGTTGAGAATTTAAGTATAACATTTCAGTAGCATTAATATCCGATCACAATAACGACGATAAAATAAAGATGAAGATGGTGATTATAAAGATAATTTAGGTGGATGTGGTATCTGATTAGAAACATAGCGGTTGAGCATGTCCTAAAATATAGATAACTTTTCAATTTACCTCCAACATTATAATATAAGCCCAAAGAAAGCCTGCCCTCAAAGCCACCCCCCACCCCGCCGACAAAAAGGGACTCACACAAGCTCCACCGGCACACTATGAATGAAACCCATCCCATCTAGTTTGTTTTTTATTGGTTTAGTTTGTATACCTTACTTACAACACATTTGTTAGGCTATATATTACAATAAAGACATTTTAATTTTCAGTGCATGTACATTTTTAAAAATATTAATTTTATTTTTACATCAAATTTAGAATATATAAATTCTTTTATTTTAAATTACAGTGACAAACATTTATAATATTCGTGCATTAATTTAAAATTCATTGCTAATTTTCAACATTATTGCAAATAATGCCAAAGTGTTAATTGATATTAGATAGGCCTATTATTAATTCCTATCTACAGGCACAAATAATCTGGAAATAGGCAATCTGCATTCTGACCCCCGGCCGATAGCTGGTAGCTTGGACCTGCTTAGACACGAGAAGTAGGCCTAAGGCGAGACTTTTTTATACCTTGTTTAGCGAACCCGCTGACTGCAAAATTTTGATGATTTCGATTTCAAATAAAAATCCATGAAATCTTTGGCCAATTAGCGCACCCGCCGCCACGAAAAAGTAGAATTTCAGAAAAAAAAAAAAATAAAAGTTCTTCTTTATTTTTATTACGCCCTCGGCTGCCTGAAATCTACAAAGATAAGATATGTATATTTCTTTCTAATTATATAAATTTGAAGCATTTAACCATCCTATTTTACATTCACAAATAAAATTTTATTTTTGTTTTCTTCTCCGTCTGGATGTTTTTGGAAAATCTGTTTGCTAAATAAGAAAACAAACTTTTATTTTTCTTTTTATTCCGCCCTCCTCCGATGATCTTTAAAAAAATAAATACGCGAAACAAGTAATAAAAAAAGTTCCGCCTAAGTTATTGTACAAGCTAGTCCACACATCTGACTTTGCTACAAAGCGCTATCCAATATCCAACTGTCGCAGAGAGCCACAAGCGCTCTGCGAAAGTTTCTAACACTAGGACAAATCAATAAATTTGTATAGCGCCTCCCATCGAAACCAACCTCGAGGCGCTTACAACAACGATCACACGAAACCAACATGATTAAACATTGCATCCGAATGACAGTGAGTTACTGAAATTTCAAATATTAGCCTACATCCAACTGACGGCCGAGCTAAGCTGCCCTCTATTAGAGTAAAAATAATTACAGCAAGGGTTTTCAGGCATTACTTGCCAATTCAATATCCATAAACCCATTTATGGCCTATAACTTTAGTACACTTCAAAATAAGTAAAGTATTAAAAGTTGGTTTATATATATAGAACAAACATGTTATTAAAATATATTATACCAAAATGTAATAAATTAGTACATTTAAATTTATAAGGTACCGTAACAGTATAGGCCAAAAATTGGTTTAAACATAAAGGTGTTGTGTCACCTCACCAACAACAACGTATTAATAATATAAATTTAGTTTAGTCACCAAAGTTTGTCTAACGAATAATCATGCACTCAAAATCTGTGTTTACATGTCTTCAACAACGATACGGTCGGTGTTGTGGGTAACACTGCTTACAGTACTCGTGTTACTTTCCTGCGTTATCCGATTAGCAAACTTCTTTTTGAATGCTTGTCGCACCTAAAATACAATTGGAATACATTAATTGTTACCAGTTTAACTATTCCCCATCTTTATGCGTAAAGATTGTTTTCTTTTTGCTGTCTGCAAATGTTCATCTTTTAAACAGCCCTACAAATGCTGCTATGTCAACTAAAATTTCTAGGATTAAAACGTCTAAAAAGATTATGTTGTCTAAAAATACTATTTGGGTCAGCTAAACTAAAGAGTCTATCTACAATGATTCAAAAAGACAAATTGTTTTTAATATAATATTCAAATCAACATCAAATCACCTCATTGCTAAAGACGCACTGCGAAAGCCAGACGAAGAATCCTTGCATGGAATTTAATATAACATAAATGTATTCCATGATCTTCCAGTCACAAAAAATGATGATGACACCAAAAATCCACGAAATACCAACAGCTGGTGCAAGAAGCAACAGACCCTGAAACACATTTCTGTTAAAACAAAATAAAATACATTCTTTACAGAACGTGGTTATATAGCACTGCAGTATTCTTTCCAACTGTAACCAATAACACGAAGTGTCATTCAAACTTAGAACTGACCAGTAAAAACAGTTGCAGGATTACGGAATTGTCCCACTTACACACAGGTTTATAATTATGTTTTAACTTGGTTTTACCTTGTCGTTTTTTGGGACATTATCAACAATCAAAGAAAGGCACAAGGTTTATTGGAAACTTCCATTCCACAATAAACAAGATATAGTGTGTTCTACACTTGTAGCGTCGGTAGTGGTCAGTATTAGGCTCAGAGGCGGCGCTACGGGGGGAGGGGAGACAGGGCCACAGCCCCCCCCCCCCGGGGAGAAAACCACAATTTGTCGGGGGGAAAAATTTAAAAATATATGTATTTTCTTAACATATTAATAGACTCTAAAATAGATTAAAATAAGCCTTTGAAACCCCCAATTTTCATAATTTTGGGGGGAGGCTACGTCCCCTGGACCACTTTCGAAAGGTTTTTAGCGATGCCTGACCACGCCCACTTTTTTCTATGTATGTGTGTGTGTGGGTGAGATGTGTATAAGAGACAGCGTCAGGGAAATCCTGGCGCCGCCACTGTATAGGCTACTACCTTACATTATTTCTTAATTCAAACGAAGACTAAAATTCATTTTTGTTAGTTTTTGAAACGACCGAAAGTGAACGAATGTGTGATGAGTGATTCTATTATTTTACCGTTTTGATATTCTTTAACTATAATGTATCATTCTTTGTGATTTCAAACTGATCAATGAGTTCATTATAGTTAATAGCTTCAACATTATAAAGTTTTCTAGAATCATAAACATATTTGTTTTGTGAGTATTGAGTAAATGTACCACGCAGGTGAACCAAATTACTGGAAAAACAAAATCTTAGAGTTTGTGACACACTTCGGATTAGTATATTACTGGTAGGTTTTTGAGATCTTGAATTTAAACAAGTTTACCTATAGAACTCATCCGTTAACTAAATGTGTAAATCACTTTTATGCCAATTTGTTGTCAATTGTTATGAGAACAGCTGTACAGCTGCACATCGTATGGTTAAAAATTTCCTTTGATGTTACTGTTTCCAGCTTTGGTCTAAATATTAGCATGCTATAGTAATTTTCTTATTTTGAAAATTTGTTTCTGTTTTAATTGGCTGACTGTATAAAGATAGCATAATACATACTTGGCGAGTCAAATGGCCGAGCGGTTAGCAGGGGCGCCGCAAGCTACAGCCATAATATCGGCGCTAGTTCAAACGGCATGCTCGCCTATGGTTCTGGTGGTTGAATAAGTCTTCTCGGATAAGGACTATAAACCGTAGGCCCAGTGTATACAATGGCTCGTGTACACTATAAAGAACCCAGATCCTCAGAGACGAGTAGGGGGATACCCCGGTGTACTGAAACAGACCCCTGTGGTAGACGACGAGAGTTGCTGGTACCGGGTTACCGGGTAGCACAGACACGAAGTGACCCTTAGGGTAAAGAAAGTCATGTATCGAGTTCCTAGTCCACATATCAAGCGCCCTGAACATCTTACATTAGATGGATATGTGCGCTATATAAAACTACACTATTATTATTATTATTATTATTATTATTATTATTATTATTATTATTACTCCAAGTATCGAAATGCACGCCATCGTGTCGTGATTCAATTTCGACATTAATTATATCAGTCATTCTTGATGATGGTATAATTATTGTTGAAATATTGAATCACGACACGATGGCGTGCATTTCGATATTTAGAGTATGTACTGTAATATCTTATCTGAGATTAATCAGTGGTCCTTTCAGTTACTGTGTATTAACTGTTCTATTTATCTAACCTCATTCGTTTAAGTGCTTGCATTTCGTCTTCAGTTTGGTTTGGTAGTTTAGATTTCATGAAAGCTACATAGCCAATAACCGCCAACTGTACGAGGACAATCTATGAAATGTTCAGTTTGTTAGTATAAAAAGAAAAGGTAAACGAATACACCACTATACGAGCACAATCTGACAATCTATTATATACATTTTTCAAAGTTACTATTCAAAGCGCCTTCGATCGTGGAAGGCGCTATATAAATATAAAACCATAACCATAACCATATAACACATATAAGAATGATTTTTTTTGTCCAAAATACAAGTCCAAAATCCATGCACTTCTATCGGTTCCTACTTCCACCCAGTTGACGTTTAATCAATATCTGTGTTCTTAAATAACACAAAAATAAGGACTTTACCAGACTAGTGAGGCACACGGGAACAATAAAAGTCCATTTGGCACCAGACTCGCTATTCAACCAGCACCTAAAAATGGTTAGAATAAAAAAGCACAATTATTTACCGATTCAATAATTTTCACAAATGTCTTACAATATCGGTAGGCCTAAGTAATTGTGATAATGTTTTACTAAATAGGTTAGCAATAATTGTAAAACATTTTCACAAGTGATTCTGTCATCGTTAAATAAATAAATAAAATCCAAAAGGCAGCTAAAACAAAACTATAATCTGTAGGTTACGTCAAAACATGTGCATAAATCTATAATGTGGTTCAAATATTTAAGCACTGCTATTACTTCTCTA